GAAGGGCGAAAACCCTTGCTATGTACGTGATAACCATAAACAGACGAACCAAGAAATTCCTTTAGGACGGATGAGTCCTGTAATCTTGAAGAAAATGAAGTGTATGATACTTCTTCAGTATTAATTTCCTTTTGTTACAACTCGAAAATGAGGTCTACTTCATGTTCACTTAAAAGTCCAGAATTTTATGTATTTATATATATGCTATTTTCAAATTAAAAATTTTATTTAGCTCAGATATTTTCGAACAAATTTTACAATAAATTTTCCATGTGCTTGGTCAAACAGTATATACCTAATATTCGATATATCGTAGCGTGAAACTTTGAAAAAACGCTTCATAAGTCGAAGAGGTTTTGATTGACAACAGAAAAAGAAAATATTAAAAATAAAATATTAAATTTTTTATTTAAACTTTTAAAATTCTTTTCAAAAATATTATTCTTTTTACAGTTCTCTCTCTCTCTCTCTCTCTCTCTCTCTCTCTCTTTGTGTATCTGTGTGTGTGTGTGTGCCTCTTTCTGAATTTAAACAACTTTTTATCGCTGGCTTAAAAATTAATATAAGCTTTCTGTTTGTTAATGAACTTTAATGACGTACATAAATACGAGTATATGCATAATGAAACGAGAAAGAATATAAAATTTAAGCTATACTTCGAGAAAATTTCAAAACAAGCTTTATTCCTTTCTCGTAACGATCCTTCTAGGAAAATAAACTACATTGAGACATAACCGAAGCACTACAATATCGTGCTATATATCGGCATACTTTTTGTTTCCATACGAAGAGAACGGCTTGAATATACTAGGACTCTTCTTCTTCTATATTTCCATCACCCTTCACCCCTTTTACATAGCAGTATTTAGGACTAAGCCGTTTTTATGAGAACATTACCTGTTTCTTGTACTTAAAATACGACAATGTAAATGGCTGATTAATATTATTTATAACCATAATAACGATACCCTTCGTATCGTACGCGTATTCCGTAATAACGATACCCTTTTTCCCTCTTACGTCGCTTGTTTAAACGTAATAATATTTTTCGTTGCTTTTTTAAGAACCCCTCGAAAAATTGGGAATGACGTAGAAAAAGATAAAAGAATTCTACGTTGTTCCACTCTATGGCTAATTCCACTATTGGATTTTCTTTATAAAAGCAAACACTATTTATCTAGCTACATTGGAAGAAGCACGTATATCCTCTTTTCTTATTTCTATTGTTCATAACCTCTTTTCCAGTCATTGTTCCGGGAACGAAAGTCTTTCATGTTCCCATAAAAAAAGAAAGATATTCTCAGCAACAGTTTCCTTACAATATCTGATATGGGAGATAGTAGACGCTTCAATATTTTGTCGTTACTTGAATAAGGAAGAGGGTTGGTCTAGCGAGATGCCATTGGAGTGCATTTCCAATTTAATGTAAAATTGCTTTGGTTACGAAAACATCAATTTAACTTCTCTGCAATTTTCATCGTGTCTACGTTTCTCTCTCTCTCTCTCTCTTTCTCTCTTTCTCTTGTTATTGCTCTTGCTTGCGCTCTTACTCGTGTTCTTGGTTGTGTTCTTTCTTTTGCTCTTACTTTTGCACTTCTCCGACCCTGATTAACTTCTATTGCAAGGGATCGATAAAATGTCGACGTAAGAAAAGGTCAAGAAATAATTTTTCCTTATTCCCAAAGAAGTGAGGAAATGGAAAGATATTAAACAGATCTACCGTTTCTTCTCTTATTCACAAATTAAAACGCATAAAAGTATTAAGAATTCATATGGCTATATATTTTATTTTGATAATAATCTCGTTATATACGAAATAAGGATCTCGTACGTACTTTTACAAAGATATATTTAGAATTCAACGTTAAAGTGATCCCTCTACAAGAACATTCTGTTCTATGGTTAAAATCTTGCTTTGATAGTATAGCAAATTCGCCGATTTGCATAAGGACAAATACCGATGCATTTAGATATACAATAGGAACATTCTTTGTAGATCCATTTAGATCTAAATTATGAAGGATCTACAAACATTTTAGATCGCATCGTTGTAGAATATGCCTTACTGCAATTTTGGTACAATCGAGAAGAGTATTACTTTTGAAAAAACAAATCGAAATAGTAGAATAATCAAATTTTTGTACGAGACTTAGATCGTTCAATGGATTTCAATACAAACTAAATATATCTTGTATAAAAATAATAGATGATAAATCACAAAGATTAATAAGGAAATTAAAATCATGTATAATATTTGTTAAAATTCAATAAAAATTAAGTCAAGTTTCAACGTGTATTCTCTATGTGCTCTCTCTATTAATACTATATTTACAGTGAATTTTCTCGAAAACTTATCCCAAAAAAAATTTTATTCTAATAATTTCGATTTATTTTCTAAAAATTCTTACTACTAAACTATAATCTATATATTATTATTATTTGTCGCTCACACGTGAAAGTGATTATTTCGTCGAATAAAAAGATCAAAGACTATAATAGAAATAATGATTTATAAATACTAGATTATCAGTTTGAATGATCACATCCATGACTCGATTGTGACTCCCTTCGAACGTGCATGTTATTTGTATTGGAAAAAAATATCAAAGGATTACGCTTGTGAATATAAACATTTGTTATGTACATTACCTGACAAAAATCTGAATGACAAACAGTCGCATTAGCTTCGATAGCAAGTTTCTTTGCATGTTTTAAAAAAAAGACCAAAGTTATATACAGTATGTGAAATAGATTGAATGACAAACAATGAAAGTAAATATTGATTATGCAACTAGATTATATATTGAATTTATAATTGACATTTTTTTTATGAAAAAAAAAAAAAAAAAAAAAAAAAAATCTGAATGAATGAAGCCTTATTCAATATCGCATGTTATGTAACTTTAATTACTACAAAATTTAGTATAATTCAATAAAGAAATACAATAGATCATTAATAGATATAAGTGTTCGAATAATAAAAGAAGAAATTTTGTTGAATCATTGAACTTAATATGTTTAAGAAAGAAATTAAAGAAAGTAAATAATTTATATTCAGATTAACAAGTAACATTTCTTTTTGGTCATTAAAAAAATAATCTAAATTACCTAAATCTTGTATCATATTTAGCTTTTCTCTATTGTTCAAATCTAAAAGTATTTATGAACTTTGGATCATTTCTTTGGAATACTTCGAAAAAGGAAGAAAAAAAAATTGTTATCGTCGTTTTTATTAAATTTATTTACTATCTCAATATTATTTCAAACATTTCGAGGTTGATTTAATAGGATATTATTACGAACGCCATTTATTTTTTATCATTATGATAACACAGAAGAAATATTAACGTGGAACAAACATCTGCACCGATAGAAAAGAAAATACAATGCTTTATAAGAAAATACCTTGCGGATTAAGAAGCGTTATATGACTATATTTTTATTCTCTTTTTATTAAACCATTATAATTTTTCTTTCTACTCGAAGGATCCTTTCGTATAAAATCTCACATACATATTACATATGTATCATTGAAGCGATAAATCTTGGAAGAAATAAGGTCGAAACGAGGACGATGCAGCAAGAAGAGAAGGCATTAATCGAGTTTACAGCTCGGACTCTTTTTCATTTGAATAACATAGAAACTTCGAAATAGCTTTTGCGTTTATGTATGTCCACGAAGGTGCCGGCCAGTTTCAAGAAACTTTCAACAGTACAATGAGACTACAATCTAGACCACAATCTAGTCTCTGCTCCAATTTCTATGAGGCTTTATCTCTTTTTGTTAAATAAAAATGAATATCTCAAACTTTGAAATCGATCCTCTCGAATTTAACCCCGTTTATCTCTTTTATTTTTTCCTTTTATCCGACCAAATTAAATTTTGCTCGTTGATGGATTTGACATTAGTACAATATATCAGTACAACTATTTTCTTTAGAAAAAAGGAGAGAGAGAGAGAGAGAGAGAGAGAGAACATATCATTATTAAAAAATAAAAATATAAAATATCTTACAAAAAAATCTTCAATGTCTTTCTGCCAATGCAGTCTGAAGAAAATTCATGGTGTCATTTTATTTAAGATATTTAATTATAACACTTAAATATAACGCATTTAACTCTTAAAATATATTATAGCATTTCTCTCCCTCTCTCTCTCTCTCTCTCTCTCTCTCTTTCTCTTTCTATCTTTTTCTCTCTTTCTCGAGTTCATCTGACATTACTAACAATGCTAAAAAAAAAACTAACTAAAGGGAAATAAGAAATTTGAATTCGTACTGATATCGGAATACCACGGCGACCTTTATAATTTTCGCGCAGTTAGCATTGAAATGAGAACGAAAATAAAAACATTCGGAAAAATGAAAGAGAGGATAACAAAGCAAAGTTCGTACTGGCAACAAAGCTAATTTCCCGTTTGCGTGTCTCAACTGTTTCATTTACGGCATTACATCGAATAAACTTGCTTATTGTCTGTGTTCTCGACAACGTGTACATGAGAAAAGAGACAGAGGGAGAGAGAGAGAGACAGAGAGAATGAGAGAGAGAGAGAGAGAGAGAGAGAGAGAGAGATAGGGAGATGTAAAATGATAATGAGTACGTGTGAAAGAAATTTACAATAAATAATTAAACTATCGCATGGCATTCGGACTTGTCATGACTAACTGACTTTTATTACGACGTCACTGAATATATTTACTTAAGTATAATACTTAATTGCTCATTGAAATACTTCCTCGTTTGTTTTGCTTGCTCATTTTTTAACAAGAATTAATCATCTTCATATTTTAATTGTACAAGAGGAGACAAAGAGAAACATCGAAATTTTAACGAAATGGATATCCATTCGTTAAAAAGAAGCGAATGTCGTTAAAAAGAGAAAAAACAGAATGCCATAGACTTGTCTTAATTAAAGATTCTTCTTAAAAACAAAACAAAAAAAAAAAAGAAAACTATGAAAAAGTCTCTACCAAGCAATATATTTTGCTTTTTTATTTCAGGTGGTCAGAGCTGCCAGTCCCGTTTTGCTGCGCGTTATAGTACTAGGCGCATTCTTCATATACTGCACGGTAAAATCTAAGTCTTTCTCAAAAGAAGATTAAATTATTGGACAATTTGTCAATTTTTTTCATCTTACAGATAAAATATTCGTAGGGATAAAAATAGTTATTAAACGTAGAACTTAGATTTATGCACTTTGCGTTAACGTTAAAAAGGCTAATATTGATTTTACATTACGTTAAACATATCTTTGCGTTAATTATCCTTTGTTATGTCTATAATGACAAGAATTATTTAAACCGTGTTAAATACGATATAAATAATTCATCTCTCATTCTTTATCAAATCGTTTCGTTAGAAAAATTCTATACTTTTTATCTTTTGCAGACGATCGTTATGTATCCTCAGCCAAACGTTATAACGTGTACTGTACGAGTTTGGCTCCGAGAAATCGGTTTTTCTCTGACGTACGGTGCTTTAATGTTGAAAACATGGAGGTAAGTAAACAAGCGAGTGATAAGAATAAAAAAAAAATGACCCTCCAAATATCCTGGAGAGATTTCTGTTGCTCACGTTCGATAGAAAAATATCGGTAGATGAAAATTGCAACATTGATGTTATTTGTTTATATGTAGTTGGTAACTAGACTTTTATGTTACTAAACAAACACGGTGATAATAAATGAAATTTTTACCAAAAAAAAAAAAAAATAAAAGAAAAAAGAAAAAAGAAAAAAGAAAAAAGAAAGAAAAAAGAAAAAAGAAAAAATGAAACAAAAAATGAAATAACAATTTTTCCAGATTTTTCCTTTCTTTTTTCTTTCCCTATTTTCGTACAAATGGAGATAAATTATTATTGCGTTATGATATCAACAACCAACGGCATTACGTTTTTTCTCTTTATTTTCTCGGATATGAATAATTAAACTTTTGAACGAGTTGAAAGAAAGAACATGATAAATTAATTTTTCTTTTCGATAAATCATAAAATACGATAAGATGAAGAAGGGTTTAATTATTTAACATCGATAATGTATAAAGGATCGAGGATGTATAATATAATATTGAATGTCGAGTAGTATGAGTCAATGCACGGAATCATGTTACGATTATTTGATATCTGAAAAAGTCGTGTTTATGAAATTTTTTAATACACAATGAAACAATTTCTTAATATAATTTATTCCGGACATTTTATAATATTTCATAAACAATATTATTAATAGAAATTTATCAGAAAATATATAACAATGATATAATCTATAGTCCGTGCTAAGATCATCGAGTGTTTACTAGTCAATTTGTATATAACTATAGATATACATATGTTAACCGGGTCAATATACCTATGTGTTAGATACACTGCCATTATTCCGATTTAGTTCAATGAAAGCCACATCTCTCCCGCATAACATCTACATGTATACATATAATATGTATATATATATATATATATACATGTGTATGTATGTATGTATGTATGTTGCTGGCACACATTCGGTCAATCCGATAATATGGCTCATATATCGATATATTCAGTAAAGTCTTCGTCAGTCCTGTTAGTCCGACACGTGGCAGAAGCTCTAATCCAGCCCGCATACCACCTCTAATGTCTTCACTTCCGATCTCTGCATCGAGATCGGACATTTCGAGATTTAACGTATTGGTACCAAACTCATTCGCATTCGCTTTCCCGCTAAATCCGACATTACCGATCTCTGTCCGAGAGAAAATACTACCCTTCCCGTCGATACAGATACCTTTATGGATATCTCGGACTCCCCCAGGATGGTTATAAATTTCCCTCTTTCCCTATCCTCCCCTTCATGCAAAATTACAAAAGCGGTTCGACAAAGGCATTGCGCTTATTTTTATGCAGTCATCTTTCGTGAATCATAAAAGATACTATTGAGTCTATTTTACATTGAAGTGGATTTTTCGTGAGGTTTTATATCTCATTTGTATTCGTAGCAAACGACTGGTTGCATTTCCTCTGCTGTTTATCGACCAAGAAATTCGATGAGGTATCTTTTAGTATTTTCTTCCTCAAGGATTCACGAATCCTTTGAAGTAAGTAATACGATGGGAAAAGGTATTGTAAACGTTTAAAAATTATTTAAATGTTCAGTCAAGTTCGAATTATTATTATTAGGACAATTTTTATAAAATATTGCAGTTTTTTTTATTTTTATGGAATAATCTTAAATATTTAAAAGTATGTTTTAGAAATAATTATGATATATAGGAGATAAGTAGGTGAAGAATATTTGTAGAATTATTAGTACTCCTATTCGAGGGAAAGAGAGAAAGAGAGGGGGAGCGGGGGGAGAAAAAGATTCTTGTTAATAATATAAATATGGGAATCGTTAAAACTACGAATGAAATGCTATAATACTTACAATCAAAATCTTTAGTAAGTATCTATTAAATATTTTCATAAATCTTTAATGATATATTAGCTCTGAATTTAGCATCATCTCTCGAGCTACATCACTGAAAAATGCGTCAATTATTGGTTAGAACTAAAAAGAAGGTCGGAACTTATCAAGGATCGATAGTGCCGGTACCTTACTATTTCTCCGTACTTGTCTCTTTCGATCCACCGACATAAACGGCACCTTCTCGAAACCACAGGATTTCCGGGCCTTTCAAACTTCCGAAACAAAAGATCGCTTTTCCTTTTACTCCATTCCGCTTTTCTCCTTGTTCTTCTTTTTCTATCTCTTCGCCTATTCTAACTTCCTTCGTTTTTATCCTAAAGAATGTTCAAATGCGAATCTTCTTGATCTAAATCTATTTTCCGGGCGTACGATAAAACAGAAATATTCCAATACCGTAAATACCATCCATTTAATCGTAAATTAAATAATACATTTGCGCGAAAAGTAAATCTTATTATTGATTTATATACAATTGAATTTTATTACGATAAATTCGATACATCAATGTTGGCGAGACGTTAAAAAGTAAATAAAGTAAAATAAAATAAAGATTGTTTATCCAGAGCATTAAATCAGTTTCTACAGTGTATTCCCTTAAATCGACGAAACTAACGCGAAGCTTACCCTTTACGATCAAATACCCTACACTATGTCCCTTTCTGTACTATTGTCAAATCATCGTTAATCTTCGTCGACATAGATTTTACATTACGGAACTGTTTGGCTTTTACGATTCGCATTCGGTGCCCGTTGTTAACGATAAGAAAGATCCATTGTTTTTCATGCTATCATACTTACAAAGACTCGTGTAGACCCATTTATCGTTAATAATGAAAATAAATTAACGAATTACGAGAAGATAAAAGTGAAGATAAAAATTATAGACTTAATCATCGTTTATAACTTTTTCATTCGAATTAAATTAAAAAAAAAAAAAAAAAAAAAAAAAAAAAAAACAATATTTTATCCTAACAAAATACAAAATATCAAATTTAATGAGCTTAAAATGTATGCACACAGCTTATCACGCTCACCATATTTAATACTAACTATGTGTACGACTATCGATAATTCATTTGTAATTTGAAATAATAAACGTATAAACATAAAAAATATTTTTATTTAATTAAAACAAAAGTTTAACGTTCTAAGAGTTTTCGTTGAATTTAATCGAATATTGATCACGTAACTTTATATTTTATGCAATTCATACATATTCATGCGTTGTACATTACGATTTGAAAGAGAGAAAAAAGTAAAAGAGTTGATTATAGATTTAAAAAATATAAAGTTCATATGTAAATGAAGAATAATTTAAAGATGATAATTTGTTCTTTCGTTATTACAAACAGTGATAATAGAAAATAAAATACGATAGGAATAATTTTATACGAGAAAATTTATTCAAATATTAATGTAAATTAAACGAAAAATTGAAAATAGAAAATTGAAAGCAAAAATTTGGAATTCGTAATATTTAATGCAAATTTTGATTCATAAGATAATAAATGTACAAAAATAAATAAAAAGAAGAAATAATAAAGAAAATAAATCTCTATATGTTTAATAAAATTAATAATAAGAAACTCGATTCTACGATTAATTCTTCCTTTTCATAATCAACACTTTTTACAATTATTACTATAAATACTCTTTCTGTTTGCAGAATATCGGTGATATTTCGAGTGAAGTCGGCAAAGGCGGTAAAAATTACGGACGCCAGTTTACTCAAGCGACTTGGTATCATAGTCATGATATTCAGTGTATTTCTAAGTATTCGTACTTTGGTTGCACCACCGGTAGTTATAGTCGCACGTACAGCCGATGATTTGAAAGCATATCTTTGTCGAACCGATTGGTGGGATCACAGCTTTACGACGCGTAAGTAATATAATTTCCACAATTGCAATTTAACGATACTAACTGATTTAATAGACAGGAATAATGATCTATAAAAGGAATACAAAGGAATCAAATGAGCGACTGTTCGTTCGTGCGAATGACATGTGGTTCCTTCTCTTATTTAACTATTCCAATAATATTAGAAAAGACGAACCCTATTTATCATAGTCCTATCTTATGAGCTACATGACTTTTGTTTCAATTTATTTTAAAAAATCGTTTGGATTGATAGCTAGTGTACTTGAGCTTTGTACAGAGATCATGAGAATGTCACTGCAAGGAATGCGGGTCTAATTGGCTAATTCATTGCTCAAAGCATTCATAGTACTATTCATAACAAAGAGAGAGAGAGAGAGAGAAAGAGGGAGAATGAGAACTAAGCATCGAAACTGATACTGAGTTGGATAATGTAATAAAATATGTATGATGGCATATACATTCATCTACAATCGACCATAAATATGGACATCCTACAATTATATCACTAAGATCCTATTCTGTAGATAAGAGAAAATGTTAAAGATGGGGATAGGCGGAGCTATCAAAAATCTCCTCTTGTCGTTGTACCGTTCCAATAACACTCTCCTGATCTCTACACAATAGTGGGGGAAATGGATTGATTGATGGTGAGGGCCGTATGGCTCGTAGCGAAGAAGAAGTTACCAACCTCTGATTTACGCAAAAGATCCAAGCTAACGACATATGGTTTAAGTGCTATTAACAGAGGTTACAGGTCATTACACGAGTATCGTTAAGACGGAAACTTTAATGGAAGATCATAAACTTCGTTTCGGGATGTTTCAGATGAACAAGCGAACTTCCGATCGATCTTGAGAAATCATATGCATTTAATTATTATGAGTGTCTAAAAACTAACAAAAGAAACTTTCTTAATCCGATAATTTTTATTTTTATAAAATTTCGCGAGTACGAAGAACATATCGGAATCATGTAAAAAACATTTTCCTTTTTACGATGGAAATTTACTTTGAGAATAGTTTTTATCAGATGGTTGGACGAAAGTATCGAAAAATATTAAAAACTGCAAATAATATATATATATATATATATATATATATATATATATATATATATATAAAATGAAAAAAGTAATTACTCGTATAATAAGAATATAGAAATACAATACAATACATGTAAAAATACTTAAGTCCTTCAGTGTATATATGCAAATGACTTGCATCATATCTATATGTTTATTTATATTTTTTTAAAAAAAGAATCGATCGAATTGAAATTATTAATATACAAATTGAATAATTAAGACAATAAGTTTGATTTGTAAGTATTTGTCTTTTTTGTTTCTCGATGAGAAATTTTTTCTATGAAATATTTTTCCGATGAAAAATTTCCAATTTTATTTTGCCCATCTTTTTCTCTTTTTCGCTCCCTTTTTTTTTCTTTTTTTTTTTTATTTTTTACAGCATATCTCTGATACCAATCTCTTTAAATTTTCTCATTTCTCGAATGAAAGTTATATTCGTGCAATCATCATCGGAATGGCGCTGCGTTCCCTTTTAAAGATTTTAAATGTTTCCTTCGTACCGAGACTTTGCGAATTTGGAACGATTAACTTTTATCTTAAAAATTGAAATGGTTAGAAAAGGTCGAAGGTTGTTGAGTTTCTTAAAATCATATCTTGTTGCTGGTTAATGTCGAAAGAATAAACTTAAGAGAAAACGATATCGTTTTTCGTTGAACAAGCTTACTGAGAAACGTCGATTAAACGTGTCTCTCTTAATCCGATCGATTAGAAACAATTGAGTATGTTCGATTCGAGAGAAACTATAAGAGAGAGAGAAAGAGAAAGAGAGAAGAAGCGTCAAGACCAGCAACGAAGTAATAAATCTTTGAGATTTAAGTCTAACCCAGCATTTATTCTCTTTCTCTTCGTAGCAAGAAGGGATGAAACTAATCGTAACTAAAAAAGAAAGCAAAGTATAAGAACTTAACCTCTGGCGGTCTTTTAGCAAAAGTCCAAACCTGTCCGAGTTAAATCTCTAGGACTTATCTTCTCTCTTTTACTCTTTCTCTTTCTCATTCTTCTTCTTTTTTTTTCTCTTTTTCGGTTACGATGAAGAAATCTAACGGCATTACTTTCGAAAAAGAACCGTACAAGAAAGGAAAGTTAATCGTTCGAAAATATATATCTCTTTTCTCAAAACAGAATAAAATAAAAAAGCGCTGTTTCGTTGCAGAAGAATTATACTTTGAATAAATTTCTATTCTTTAACGTTTATTTCCTTTTTCTCTTGTTAATGTAAAATGAAGAACGAGGAACGACAAGTATTTACTTCAGTATTCGCAAGTTTGGCAATTTTTCTAGCAGCGAAAAAGAAAAAGTTGCATTACGTTAACTTGCAACTTCGTGCTTTGCTTAAGTAGAAAATAGGACGATCTAGGAATTTAAGTTTCACAAAAGCGAGGAAGTCGGCTTACATCAAAGTCAAGCTTAACGTGGGAACGCGAAACTTGCGAGAGCTATCCGAATCGTTTCGTTTCGCGAGAGAGAGAGAAAGATATATATATATATATATATGTACATATATATATATATATACACATATATAGATATATATATATATATAAAGAGAGAGAGAGGGAGAGAGAGAGAGAGAGGGAGAGAGAGAGAGAGAGAGAGTGTGTGTACGTATGTGTGTGAAAAAGAGAGCGATTAATTGCAGGAAAGGTACGAAAGTGAATTTATCGAGTGAACATTTTCGTCAGTATAAACCAACACGACCGATTCGTTTGTTGCATAAAATTAAAATTCAAAACTCGAAAATTACAAAATCGAAATAAAAATATAATATCTATTAATTTAAACGAAAAAAAAATACCGTCATTACGATTTCTCATTTTTTAGATTTTTCAAATATATATTTCTCGTATATTGTATATCATTGTATATCGTATCGTATTGTAATTAATTTTCTGTTTCTTTCAAACTAAAAAAAAAAAAAAAATAAAGTAAAAAAGAAAAAAGAGAGAAAAAATCGACAAGTTCGATTAATTTAATCTGATATTTTTAATGATAATTAAAAAAACCGTTCTTCATCAAGTTCAATTTTTTATATTAATTTCGATTACTATTAACTATTAAGTTCGATTACTAATTTATATTCGATATAAAGAATATTATTATCGAAAAATTAGCTTCTATATTTGTCTTGTATAACAATAGAAAGAAAAAATGAACGAAATAACATAATTGCAGATTACGTTAATGAATCGAAATAATTTAAAATCGATTATATTATGCTAAATTTCGACGAAACTACTAAGACCCATTTTGATACTAAAGTATCATTATTATTATTATTATTATTATTATTATTATTATTATTATTATTATTATTATTATTATTATTATTATTATTATTATTATTATTATTATTATTATTATTATTATTATTATTATTATTATTATTATTATTATTATTATTATTATTATTATTATTATTATTATTATTATTATTATTATTATTATTATTATTATTATTATTATTATTATTATTATTATTATTATTATTATTATTATTATTATTATTATTATTATTATTATTATTATTATTATTATTATTATTATTATTATTATTATTATTATTATTATTATTATTATTATTATTATTATTATTATTATTATTATTATTATTATTATTATTATTATTATTATTTATTATTATTATTATTATTATTATTATTATTATTATTATTATTATTATTATTATTATTATTATTATTATTATTATTATTATTATTATTATTATTATTATTATTATTATTATTATTATTATTATTATTATTATTATTATTATTATTATTATTATTATTATTATTATTATTATTATTATTATTATTATTATTATTATTATTATTATTATTATTATTATTATTATTATTATTATTATTATTATTATTATTATTATTATTATTATTATTATTATTATTATTATTATTATTATTATTATTATTATTATTATTATTATTATTATTATTATTATTATTATTATTATTATTATTATTATTATTATTATTATTATTATTATTATTATTATTATTATTATTATTATTATTATTATTATTATTATTATTATTATTATTATTATTATTATTATTATTATTATTATTATTATTATTATTATTATTATTATTATTATTATTATTATTATTATTATTATTATTATTATTATTATTATTATTATTATTATTATTATTATTATTATTATTATTATTATTATTATTATTATTATTATTATTATTATTATTATTATTATTATTATTATTATTATTATTATTATTATTATTATTATTATTATTATTATTATTATTATTATTATTATTATTATTATTATTATTATTATTATTATTATTATTATTATTATTATTATTATTATTATTATTATTATTATTATTATTATTATTATTATTATTATTATTATTATTATTATTATTATTATTATTATTATTATTATTATTATTATTATTATTATTATTATTATTATTATTATTATTATTATTATTATTATTATTATTATTATTATTATTATTATTATTATTATTATTATTATTATTATTATTATTATTATTATTATTATTATTATTATTATTATTATTATTATTATTATTATTATTATTATTATTATTATTATTATTATTATTATTATTATTATTATTATTATTATTATTATTATTATTATTATTATTATTATTATTATTATTATTATTATTATTATTATTATTATTATTATTATTATTATTATTATTATTATTATTATTATTATTATTATTATTATTATTATTATTATTATTATTATTATTATTATTATTATTATTATTATTATTATTATTATTATTATTATTATTATTATTATTATTATTATTATTATTATTATTATTATTATTATTATTATTATTATTATTATTATTATTATTATTATTATTATTATTATTATTATTATTATTATTATTATTATTATTATTATTATTATTATTATTATTATTATTATTATTATTATTATTATTATTATTATTATTATTATTATTATTATTATTATTATTATTATTATTATTATTATTATTATTATTATTATTATTATTATTATTATTATTATTATTATTATTATTATTATTATTATTATTATTATTATTATTATTATTATTATTATTATTATTATTATTATTATTATTATTATTATTATTATTATTATTATTATTATTATTATTATTATTATTATTATTATTATTATTATTTTTATTATTATTATTTTTATTATTATTATTATTATTATTATTATTATTATTATTATTATTATTATTATTATTATTATTATTATTATTATTATTATTATACACATGCGTTGTTCCTATTTTAATCCTTTAATTTAATAACTCCTTTTTTCTTTTCGCCTTTCAGTCGAAGTGATGTTCCTTATTTGGGGTATCAGACTGTGCATCGTCGTAAGAAAAACTCCGTCTGAATTTAATGAGAGTCGATTTATATCGATGGCCATTTACAACGAATTTTTGCTATCGGTCTTCCTCAATGTTTCAATGTGAGTTCACCTATTGTACATTAATAATATTCACTAATTGATAACATTTTTATCATGAGAAACATAGAAATTCCATTGACACTATACGAAAAAAGTAATTAAAAACTACCTTAATTGTTCATTTTTAACTATTCACGAGACAGTATTTAATTAATATTGTTCTCTATATTACGCATTACAGAGAGTCATGAGAAATTTTTAAATTAAAAAAGCATTTGTCGTTTAAACCGTTCCCACTACTATAGATATTTATTAAAAATTCATTATTTTCATTAAATCAAGGGGAATATATTTATAATAAATTCTATTAATATCGTATATACACTTATCGATATTTTTTAATTTGACGAAACGTTAGTTAAAATCAAATCGATAATAAAATTTTACGAATCAAGTTGATAGAAAAAAATAAAGCTAAAATTATAATAAATCAAATTTCAATCTATTTATATGATAATTACATTCTGTATGATGATATTTCATCTTTTATTAAAACAATATAAGATCTCACGAAATTACTCTAAACGTGTACACTTCTAAAAGGGGATAATATAAATTTAATGGACATTGACACATAGAAACGTTTAATAGAAGACAACTCGTTCAATTGAATTCTACTATTCTCTCCAAAGTGCCGCTCGAAAGTCTATCCAAGTAATTATCAATTTCGCTCGTAAATGTGACAAACTAGAGAAAGAATCTCGAACAATTATATCTGTTCGTTTAATCGAATCGACTTTTCTCTTACATTTAGTTCGATATTTCGCACAAATAAATCTCAGGAAATAATCGTTTTATCGTCACATTAGATATATCTCCTTTAATCCATGATGGTTGTTTTCTTTTCACTCCGAAAATAACTTTCGAAACGAAATAAAATGTAAATGATTACTTAATTTCGTTTGAAAAACATTATCGCGAATTTTGTAGTTCCAGATAAGTTTTTGAATTTCTGTGAAGTATGCGCACTTGAATTTTACTTTTTTTTTTTATCCTTTTTCATTCTTTTTCTTTTTTTTTTCTTTTTCTTTCTTTTTCTTTAATGAAATTTTCGAGATAATTACTGCCACGCTTCATATCAATTTTTTTTTTTTCCATTACAGGCTGTTTCTCCAATCACCGGCCAATCCGGATTTATTATACATCATATTTTTCTGTCATACCCAACTAACAGTCACACTCTTGCTATGTCTTATATTCGGCAGCAAGGTAAGAAAGAAATAGTCCACGTATCGAATGTGATTTGTCAAAAAAGCTTTAACTTTCTAAACCTGTTAACCGGAAAGTCTAAGATATCATAAAAATTTAACTTTTCACGTGTTAAAAGAACAAATAAATCATTTTTTTCTTACTCTTAATAAAGAAGCATTATACTATTTATATATATTTTTTTTATATATTTATTATTTTTATTATATATATATATAATTTTTTTTTTAAACTTTATCTTCATCCGTAATATTTTATTTTAAATAAAAATAAATAAATTTATATCTACCAATAAAAAATCTCTCCGGCTAACATGTTTAATGATATACACATAATTCTACTAATTGAAAGGAAAACGTTCATCGCTTTTACTTTACCAAGGCTTACGTGGTATTTCGCGGTTATGGCAAAGAGGATTCAGCCGGTAAACTTTCTGGTCCAGCGAGCAAGTTTTTGAGTAAAAGTAGTCGACCACAAGGTACCAGCAATCAGACAAATTCAATATCTCTCCAACAAGGTAATTTCACAGAGGAGAGCGACAGTACTACGGTAAGAGAATTTCAAGGACACTTAGTTTTTTTTTTTGCTTTATTTCATCTCAGATATTTAATTTTAATGATATTAATAAGAAGTTGGATTGGATAATGTAATGAAAGAGAGATGATCTTATTAAGAATTTAAAGCCAGATACAGAGAGAAAGAGATAGATATAAACAGAAAATCTATTCGTATTGGCTAACTAAATCTTATAAAACCTAAATCGCCAAAAAGTAAATTCGACGGTCATGTTAAAGAAACTCGATAATAATTATAATTAGATTTTCATTTGATATCTATAATGACAACGTAAAAGTCTTTTCAAACTTCTTCTGAATAAAGATTACAAATTTGTCCAGTTAATATTAGATATTTATCTATCAAATAACTATATCTACTTTGTAAACTAAATTAAATTAAATTAAAACTCAGAATTATTCGTAGAAAGTACTAACTACGGCTTACAAATATATAAATAACAAGTGACGGAAATAAATCTTTGTGCTTGTATTTCAACAAAAAAAAAAAAAAAAAAAAAAAAAAAAAATAAGAAACAACAAGCAAATATGAATTCTAAGCATTGTCATCAATAAAAATTCCTATAATGAATAATACCCTTTTATTAAGACTTTTAACAAAATACTTTATATTTGATATTCAAATAAATCGAAGAATAAACCTTAAATTTACGATTCGCAGCATTGATTCGATAATTTCAAGTGAACTAACAAGATCGACGATAAGGGAGCGTTCGTACGTACAAATTGATTGTTTCCTTCGAGCATTAATATAATTCTTATCGCAAAAGTGGAAAAGATACTTTCGTTTGATGAAAAATTTAGGTTGAACTGAGCATTTAAATATTAAAGTTCTACAATCCGAATTAAAATTAAAATTTTACGAAAAATTGATGTCTGTTGAGATCGCAGACTTTAATCAAGACTCGTAACCAAAAACGTGGAACAATTGAAAGATCTGTATTGGTCATTGGATTTTTTCAGGAAATAACTACGATGGTCCTAATCAGTCTTCGTCGTCATCATCGGTCTTCGTTGTCATCATCGGTCATCATCACTCTCTTTATATTTCGTAATACATTTCCTCAAACGTTCAATAACCGACTGTACATATCTTTCAATTATTTCACACTCTTGATTATATATATATATATATATATATATATATATATATATATATATATATCATATAATCACAGAAATATGTTATAATACCTATGAACACACTTTCTGATAATCCAAAAATTTATTTGATTAATTTTACGCTTTTCGGGGCTAATAATTGTTAATACTATTTAATTCATTCAGGTCCTACATATATAAACGTAGAAATGAATGGGAAGACAGATAGCGGAGTGGAGAATAGAACGAAAAGGAGAAAGATATGAGCGAAGCAAAACAAACACAAGATAAGCTTTAGAGGATGACATCATAAAGAAACAGAAAGTACAACAATCGAAAATATTGTAGGCACTCGTATACAGCAATCGTTGGAAACCTACAAAAGCTTTAATTTTATTCTTTATCTGTATACATTCATTTTTTAAAATTAAATCAACAATTACTTAAGTTTGAATATATCCGATCTAATACATTATACGTATATACGAAACTCGATAATAATCCTAATTAGATTCTCATTTGATAATTAAAATAACAACGAAAGATTTTTCCCAAGGTTCTTATTAATAAATACTACGAATTTGTTGAGTTTATATTAGGAAAAATTATTTGTTCAATGATACAATTTATCTCATTAAATTAAAATGAAATAAATCGTAAAAAAAATTCTTATAAATTTAATGTCGTCTTAAACGAATTAGATAATATATTGTCCAATTATCATCGAGTAAATTTTTTAATCGTTCAAAAATATAATTTATTATATATATATAATCTATAAATATTATATTAAATTTCGGAATATAATAATCATGAAAATAATTCGTCACATAGATAATTTTTTTCTTTTAATTAATAATAGTACATCATAATATTGTAAGTACTTTATTGACGTTTAGTTATATTTTTCTTTCGATATAAAAAGCATCGATAATACCGTGTTTTTACTTGTCGAATGAAAATAATCCGAACTTTTAGCGTATAATCTCTCTCTCTCTCTCTCTAGCTCTATCTCTATCTCTATCTCTTTCATCGTAATTTGCTGTACAAAATAAACAGCAATTGAGAATTTTTTTTTAAATAAAGATACCTACATATATAGATGCACACATATTTTATTTATAAAGTTCGCTTAATTTCTTTGTCAGTTTTCAACATCTCTCTAACTGAAGTGTAAATATTGTAATTCCCTTTTCCAATCATAGTACGAAAATTTCTCCTGTTCGTTTCACGTAACAAAATTTTATTCCACTGGGACTTTAGAACTGAATCTACATACAAATCGTAATCTGAAAAAAAAAAAAAAAAACAAATCAGTAACATTTCTTATTCGATTCTATCTCATGTGATCTGTAATACATATATACAATATAAAGTTATATTTTGTCAAAAAGGAAGGAAATTCTATTCGTGAGATTCAACTAAAATGTATTCGAAGCAATTGTAAACTTTGATTATCTTTCTTTTCTTCCCAAGAAATTAGCTTAGTCATTTTCCATTCTCTCTCTCTCTCTCCCTCCCTCCCTCTCTCTCACAACCTCACTCTCACTCTCACTCTCACTCACACTCAAACACCTCTTTTTCTCTCCATATTCTAATAAAAAATTACAAAAGAAGCGGAAGTATGCGGAATTCACATTAAATTTCAGGAGGAATTTCGCCGTCTGATTGCTCAACTGGATGTTTTAAAGGAGAAGAACGTTTTATTGGGCAACCATTATTTAGTCAGTAAAATTGCAGCGATGCAAGAAGCAGCAAATCGTAGCGAGGCCCAAGTATCGACAATTCAAACGATCTCTACGAGCATTAGACTAAATGATCTTAACGGTTCGCGAACTGTTGTGGAAAGTGAAGTTGGTATATCCTGTGAAAAGGATCACAAACTTATAGGTAAGAGTAACATTAAAGTAGCTGCTCGAATAGCTTAGTATGTACTTAGGAATATTTCGATATGGGAATAACTTCTTAGATGGGAAATATGTATAATAAGATAGTCTTTACTATATCGAGAGTAAATTCATTCCGTTTGATCAATTTCTTCATTCAAATTTTGAAAAAAATCAAAGTAAGATGTTAGAACGTTAAAACTGAGATAAATATTAAATGAAATAAATTATAAAGTAAACGTCGTTGTATAAAAGGTATTGGACTGCACGAGAAAAAATGTCAGGCTTGTATCGAGAAGAATGGTCTTCGAAACAAGGATCAACATCGCAATAGTGATCCTAGTAGTAGCACCACGAGTATACGAAAAGGAGAACATCCGAATTTGAGAGAAACCGATAAAGAAATTCGCGATGGTAAAAATGACGTTGGCGTCTCAACGTCCTCGAAACTAATCGGCACCAGCGAGGATATAGCCACGGAAACGAACCCCGAGCCGAACGGAAAAGAGAATGATGCAAAAGATAAGTCCAAGAGCAAATCCGGTCACGCCAGGACCCATGCCATTGTAATCAACCTCGACGATAAGAGCAGATTCTCAGAAGAGGTCACCGTCTAAAGGTTCATCGAGATAACCTTCAGACCCTTCTCCTTCCCTCTTTTCCTTCATGACGAATGAACAAATGAGATTTACCACCGCCATCTTTCTTTGTGATACATTTATTTCGTCAGTACTTCGAAAAGAAACATTTTTCTTTTTTTAAAGAATACTCACTGATGATAAAATGAATGGAAGACGGTTCAATATGTTGTCAGAGAATATTATTAATTATTTGAAATTCGACCAATTGCTCAATAATCATTGGTCATTGAATGGAATATGTATATGTTCACTTTTTTTTTTTTTTTTTTTGAGCGTATAACGTTCTTAGGTGCTCTAAGCGAAAGAATTAAATAAGATTTGCCATAATTTACACATGTAAATACGTTTCGACACGCGCGTTCAAAGTCTTGCCGTAATTATAAACGAACGCATTGTATATATCAATATATAAATGTAATAATAATATGTTTAACGATCAAAAGTGAATAAAAGTGAAAGAAAATAGGACTAAAGTTTATTTCCTTCTACGTAAGGATTAACGTTGGGAAAGAAATTTATTCAAAACGATTTGAAAAAAAAAAAAAAAAAAAAAAAAGAAAGCGGACTCAAGTTTAATATATCGATTTATCCGTTCTGCCATATCATTATTTTGTAAATATTTTGTAAATAAAAAAAAAATATCATCGCAAGCTAAATAATTTCGTTTGTCTAAAGTTTGCACACATACATATCGATTATGTTGAAGATGGATGTATGTATATATATTCAAAAAAAAATAACTCATGCTTCACGAGATCATGCAAAAATGAGACAAAGAACAAACAAGAATCTCAATAAATTAAATTCATTTGTCGAATTACCGACGAACTTTTTCATTAATCTTTTAATTCATAACGATCTCGATTCGATCATTGATAATTTAATCAGCAAACATACACATACATAACTCGATTTTAAAGCTAAGCTTTTAAAAACATTCGATGAAGAGCAGCAAAAGATTATCTTATGTATTGATCTTAGTCAACAATCGAAATGGCCTTCGCAATATTACGTCGAATTCATTAGCAAAGTTCTTTTTTTAAACATAATTATAAAGAATACACACGTATACAATGATAGAAAGAGGTCGTAGAGCACATAAAAAGAGAGGAAATAAAATCAGAATTGGAATTTATCGCCCTACGAGAGCAGAAAAAGATATTGCTAATATCAACAACAACGCGTTCTACTAGAAAAAAAAAAAAAAGAAAAATAATAAAATAAAATAGAATATAAAAGCGAAATATTCTTAAAGGGATCATTTCTTATCTCCACTATCGAAATTTTATCCTCCGTTGATGTACAATAGATGTACTTAAATGTCCTAAAACAAATATCGTAGAGATTAAGATAAAACAAAAAAAAATAAAAAAAAATAAAAAAATAAAATAAAATAAAATAACAAGAAAAACAAAATTCGTAAGGCGCTCGTTTTGATCTAGAGATCATCAATTTTATGCACCTTAGAGAGCACAATCCACATCGAATTTTATCTCTCGACGAGATATCGAAATCTTCGGACGATCGGGCTAATTCATGCAATTACGTTGAAGGGACGTCGTTGTAATACAATATATCGCTGTTGTTTGTTGTATATACATACATATATATATATATATACAGTGAGTCTAGAAATATTTGGAGATTTTTTGAAATCGACAAACTTTTTTTTAAATCGTACGTTTTATAGAACTTATTTAAATACTTATGAAATCTTCATCATTATATCGTGAAACTCATCGTTTTACAATGATTATAAAGATCGTAATTTGATGTAAGATTGGTGAAATTTTTTCTCATGTAATTTAGATACATAAGACAAATAAATCTATAAAATGCATATATTCAATTTTTATAAGAATACTCGATAAGAAAGTTTAATTTATGAATGTTTGTTATTACAACAATGAAAATTCACTTTATCTCTTAGACATATTCAATATACAACAATTAACAATAAAATGTTATACAATTCAAAAATGTGTTCAAATATTTCTACGGCTTACTGTATATAAATTTACCGGACAAATTCCTTTTCAGAGCATGCAATGAATGTCTTTCGGTATATGGTGTGTTCTACGTATCTATAATACGTAAATACATATGTTAAAAGATTAGAGATCTTACGACTGTGAAAGTACTTACAATATTGTTTCTGTTAAACAGAAAGAAAGGATAAAGAAAAGGAAAAAATAAATAAATAAATAAATAAGTAAAATGAAAAGAAAAACGAAAACAATTTTTCCGATTAATCTTGCTTTATGTTGACGCATGATTAATGAATACTCGTGAAATATATCATAAGAACAAAATAAAAAGTAATCATCGATCGACGAATGATAATTTTCTCTATCTTTTTTATCGTATCCCTTCTCTTATCCTGTTTCCTTTTAATGTCAATTCAATCAAATTCGGACCCAATGGAATATCTTGCCAAATGACAGAATATTAAATCCTGATAAGATATACGAGCTGACCTGCTGAGATCAATGAACCGAGAAATAACTAGAACGATATACATATTTAACGAGACGTATCTGACAGATCCTAACACGAACATCTGGCAACAAGCGCACGCATATGTCACGCATATGTTCCATCAGAATTAATTACTAATTAATGTAAGAGGATTTCAATAATCTAACTGACACTGCTTTCACTTGTTTCCCATGAGTTTATCGTAATCTGAATAAGCGATGATATCAATCAACATATTTTTTTCCGAAACCTTTTTATTGCTGTGAACATATTTCAAATATGTTTCTTGTTATTATATAATATTTATATTTTTATGTATATATGAATATAACATATTATATAATATTTATTTATAGATAAGATAACAGATAATTTACCAATTTAATTAATTGCTGAAGTATCCATTAATCAACACTTTTTTGGTTGTATTATGCATTGGAATCTATGAAAAGAAAAATGTTCGAATAAGTAATGGAAATGGAAAATATATTCAAAAGAACATAAAAGAATTATAAAAGCTCAATCCACGAAATCATATATTCATTCGAATTGTCGTTCTTTTCCATTTTATACGAATAACAAATGAAACTGTGATTTATATGGATTTAGATAGATATTTATATATCTATATTAATTTCATCAAGATACACAGAATATGGAACATAAACTTAAATTACAAATTATTAAATCGTTCTATCTTGTTTATAAAAGTAAACGTTCTTATTACAAGATTACTTTGTAATTATAATAATAGATTCATTATAAATAGAAGAAAACAATGCCATATAAATTTACATTATTATAGTAAGCTTTATTTTACTCCCAAGTCAGGAAAAAAGTAAATAAATAAGTAAATAATTCCAAAAAGAAAAAACTAATAATAAAAATGAAAAAAAGTTCACGTAACGAAAGTGTTTGTAATGAGTAGCTAGTTATTTTCAATAAAAAGAGATTAAAAAAAAAAAAAAAAGAAACTTCTACCGTTTAATGCTTAATTATGCATTTTTATTTTGTGCTGTATTCGAAGTAAAGGGAAATCATTTTTTTTATTCTGAACATTTCTGATAAAATATTGCCTATGTAAATTGCAATTATACGGTGCATGCGCATGCATATATACTCCATACGTCAACAATCCTCTAAATCAGTAAGTTGCAGCTACATAATATTAACCCCATTTTCTCGCCTATGCCTGTCGGCATTCTTATTAAAGGAGAAATTTACGATTACTGTATTCTAATTATCTGTATCGTAATTCCCAGCACGTTGTTCTCGTAACATCGTTGCTTGTACAATTTTCAGCATACAACTTTATTTAAATGACGTTATACTCTGTTTTCCGTGACTATTCTTCGGTGTTCCGCTTAAAAATACTCCTTCGAGAAAATGATCTTTATAAAACTACCCTCATATGAGGTTATGATGTATAGTGAAAAGTTACTATATGTCGTGGCTTGTATATTAGAACGGATACATAAAACTTTACGTAAAATTTTTACAACACCCGAGAGATAAATGGTCTATGTATATGTGCAAATATATGCTATGGTATATGTGTGTGTCTGTATGTATACGTACAAACATACACACATACATACATATATATATATATATATATATATATATATATGTAGACTACCGTGACATTATAAGAATGCTAAAAAAGGCAGGATAGATGATATAAAACAGGATCCGTATTGTCTTATAACAGCGATTATTCGTCACCGTTCCATTTAAAAACTACCCATAATACCATGCCGACAATTTTTAATCGTTAAGATAGCCCCGCTGTTCTCCCTAGAGATTTTTAACTCTTAAAACACAATTGCCATTGTTCTTGGGTTTTCTTGGAAAGTTTCAAATAAGCATGTTGAAAAGGAATACTCTAAAAGTATTCGCACAATACTTATCATCAAGAAATAAAACTTGTTGATCAGTGACATCGAAATTCGTGAATCGTGAATATCAGGTCAGTTCACTTGGTTACTGACTTTCGTCGTAAATCAAATTAAGGAGAGAAGAGACATTGCTTTCTTATCAAGCTCGAGATTATACGCTTGGGGATTTTACTACAATTTAAAAGATGAATCGTATTAATCTGACACTTTGTAATTACATTCAAATTCATTTAACGAATGTAAAAAATATTGATCTATGAAATATTTACGCTGACAAAATCGTTGTCGCACTTATGACAGACACGTCGATATGACAAAAAAAAAAAATATTAAAAAAAAATATTACTAATGCTACGCACTACTTTTATTCTATATCTATCATTATTTCTTTTCTTTTTTTTTTGACAAAATAAAATGAATTTAGTTAAGAATTTGTTTATAAAAATTGTTTATAACAAATTGTTAATTAATAATTAACAATACGCTGAAAAAATAGAAAAAATTCCGTCTTATAAAATGGTACTTGATTCAAGTTTTTACGACTTTTAGTTCCGAAGATATTTCAATGTAAATGGAACAATGTAGAAAAGTTTTTTTAACACAAGTGATTTGTTTATTAATTTATGTAATTTTATAAATCAGTAGTAATCTGATTTATTTATTTTTTTTTTTTGACAAAATAAAATGAATTCAGTTTTTAAGAATTTGTTTATAAAAATTATTTATAATAAATTGTTAATTAATTATTAACAATACGCTGAAAAAATAGCGAAAATTTTGCCCTTTAAAACAGTATTTGTTATAAATTTCTATGACTTTTAGTTCCGGAGATATTCCAACTTAAATAAAAGATGTTTACGTAGAGCCATTGACC